AAGGTTTAGGACTGAATTGGCACCAATTTAAAAGGTTTAGGATTTAATTGGCACTAAAAAAAGGTTTAGGACTAAATTGGCACCAATGCAAAAGGTTTAGGACTGAATTGGCACCAAAAAAAGGTTTAGGACTAAATTGGCACTAATGCAAAAGGTTTAGGACTTTTTTGGCACTTTTCCCGCAGTTCAGGTATGACTAGAAATTGGAGCCTCGGGATGCTAAAGCTTTTCCGTAAAACAATGCATGGTTGCCATTTTAAAAAGTATACATGTTAGCCATTTGTCTGTAAACATCTTCCATCTTCACCACATGCATAACTAGTTTTGAGGCCAATCTATTGTCTAAGACTAAAGTGTTATGTAATATATGGTACAAATTCAAAATGCATATGAAATTAAAGGAAAAAATAGAGAAACTAAAATTGAAAGAAGAAATCAAAGAACTTACCAAAAAAAACGAAGAAGAAAGCAAAGAAAAGTTATATATGACACAAGGCGCTTCAAGGTAGGGATGGATCCAAAAGAAACTTCTTGGAGTAGCTGGGTTGGCCGACAATGTATAATGAAAAACTTCTCTTTAATCCAAATGATTGCAAATTTCAAGTATTTAGAGAAAATGTTTTTAAAGATTTGATCTATTTCGAAAAGTGAATTGAAATTCCTTTGAAATAACAAATTATTTAACTTAAAAAGAAAAATAAAAATATTAGATTAAGTTTGGAAAGTGTTGAAAATTTAGGGAATCATGAATGTTGGAGATTCAATTTTCGTTTGAATTACAATTTTGTCCCTTTATTAATGTTATGCCATTATAATGTCACCATACGCTTTTGATGGAACATATTGAGAAAAGTTCTTTCAGTTTGTTTTATTAATATTAGCGAATGGGCACATACACAGCGTGTGTTCAAGAAACTAACATTTGAAAGATGGGAAAAGATAAATGTTTTCACTCCAAACTGGGCAAAAGATTTGAGAGACTGAAAAATTGTCTTTGAATAATGCATGCTTGCCACTATCCTTAAAAAAAATGGATGATTGCCACTTGTCTCATTCTTGCATGGTGATATCATGCATAATTATTGCCAAAGCCAACGCTTTTCTCAACGAATGAATATACAAATGAACTTCAAATCTTCAAATTTATTCATTAAAGAGAAATGTAGTTGAGGTATTACCGGAAATTAGAGCATCGAGATGCTAAAGCTTTTCCATAAAATAATGCATTTCGTCATTTTAAAACGAGTACATGCTAGCCATTTGTTTGCAAACTCCTTCCACTTTCACCCATGCATAATTAGTTTGACGTCTATCTATTGTCCAAGACTAAAGTGTTACGTAATAAATGTTACAAATTTAAAATACAAATGAAATTAGACAAAAAAAAAATAGAGAAACTGAAATTGAAAGAAGATAGTAGAAGAAAAGTCATGTGGTTATTGACAAATGATTTTGGCTGACAAGTCATTAACGGTAAAAACTCAAGATTAGGGTTTTTAATCGTGACATGACTTGTTTCTTAGTAAAAAGAGTTGTTTTAGTGTTTTTTGAATTTATTTCAGATTGCATTGCTTTCTAGGCAAACCAAGACATTGATTTTACGAATAATGCAAAGAAGTCGTTAGAGTTGACTTTTGGTCAACCACTGAAGCAAAACCATCAATCAACATTTTTCAAAAATTTGAAAAAATCTAAAATTATCAAATCACTTCCTTTTATTATTAATTGAACTTCTAATTCGTTAATTTGACAAAAATCAATCAAGAATCGACTTTACAGCCAAATCGAGAATTTTGACTTTTGATCGACAAAATTCAAAATTCATTGATTTCAAGTTATTTTTTACAATTTGTTTCTTCACGACATTTGATCCTGGGGTCAAAATGCACTTTATTTTTAAGCCAATTTTTTAAAAAATCAAGCTTAAGACGGGCTAGCCAATTTTCGACTGCTAATCAAGAGTCCCGATAAGTTCTTTATGAGTAATGTCAATTACCCAATTTGAATCCGATTAAGTCCAATTAACTCAATTCCAATGTCAATTTTGACAAAATCATAGCAATCTAGCTTAATTTTACCAAAATAGTGGACAACGATCTATGAATTTAGGCTTTCGACCAAAAAAAGAAAGATCTGTAAATTCAGGATGGGTTGACCCAATTTATCCAATTTAGTTTGACCCATGTTGGGTTGGAGCCCAATTTGATCAATTGAACATCAATTGTGCATGATAGCCTAATCCATAAAACAATTTGAGGGGAACTTAGGTAATTGGAATACCACGAGTTGATTCGATCGAATTGTGCCAACATGGTTTGGACCGAGCCGACCTGATTGGATCGAATTGAACCCAACCCAATGGACTAACTCTTGGTTGAGCCCACATAGTGAAAATAACAATTCCAATTAGAAAAATTAAAGCGAAATTGAGCAATTGGAGAACCACGAGACAACCCGGGTGAGATCGACCCTCCACATCGAACTACCCAGCCATGCGACCAGCCTAACCGGCCAACCCTCTCTCTACTCACACTGAATAAATTACAAAAATGCCATTTAGAAATATTGCCAAAATGCCCTTGCCATGTCACATATCCTTTGAAGTTCAAATCTCAACCGTTTATTGATCAATTTATCTTAGCCATCCATTATGACACATCATCAATCCATGTGAATAATTTGCAGCCAATAGGGAGCTTGATTAATCATTAAGGGTTTCTCTCTCTCGCAGGGAAATGTCTCTCTCACCGACCGGTTTCCTGCAAGTTTCGGCGAGCCGCCGGTCTTCCTCCGCTAGTCTAGCCGTGCAACCAAATTCCCCGGCAAGTCCTTGGTATGCTCATGGTCGGCACTACTCCAGATCCTCGCCGAAAGCCCCTCAATTGGCCTATCATTTTCATTTTCTCGTCAGCATCCATTCTATCAAAGTAGGATCCTTTTTATTGATTGATCATTCTTTGTGATCATCCGAGAATGTGGTCATTGAATGATGGTTTAAAAATCGAAGTTTGACCTCGATCTATAATCAAGGTGAGATGTGATAGAATTTTTTGAAATCGAACTAAAATTTAGCTTTAGAACTAGTACAATCTAGTAAAATCAAAGTGAAATTTCATTTTAACGAGGTTTTAGGACTTGATTCTCATCTTAGCTGAACATGTATAGGCATTCTTTCATGTTATTTTTGTCAATTACATATCGTTTTAACTAGAGTTTGCACGTTTAGGATGATTCATTCCTAGAATTGGATCAAGTGATAGTTAATTCTTTGTTTTGTATGTTGATGTTCTACTTGCATGTACCCGGCCGAAACATCTAGTGTAATAATCAAGCATGTTTCAATGTTGATTACTCCTAGGTTGATAATTTGTTGAATACATGTTGATTTGAGATAGTTTTATGTTAATCCGATAATGTTTGTGCATGTTTAGACGAATGTTTTAGGTAAGGATGTGCAAAGGAACTAGAAACCGCTCAAACCGCCTGGAACCGAACCGAACCGACCCAGAATTGGTGGTTCCTAAGGGAACCTGTCCGGTTCCCAGTTCCAAGTGCGGAACTGTCCACCCGTCCACTTAGACCGGACCGATAATATATATTATATTTATTTAATTTTTAATTTTTTTAAAAAATGAAAAATTCTAAATCCCTAATGTGAAACTCGCTAATCTTATCTGGCAATATAAAGACCTTTTGTCATGTAATGACTCTAGCTCGATGAGGCCGTGGCTCTACAACTGTTGACTAACGGCCGTTCAACGCATATAGGCTACTGACTAGTTTTTATGTTGGATCACTGTCTGTTTTTGTCCATTCATAACAAGTTGAGTGAGTATGCTCTCTTACTTACACACTTCCTAACATTCATTTTGTTGATTCATTGGCTTTGGTTGAAAGTGTCTTTGATGAGGTGTAATTTTAATTAATCCAGAATCATTTATTTCCGTTGTGTAATTCTTTGTTGCATATTACAGTGCCGACACGTGAAACTTGGTGGGACTGGTTCCATGGACCCACCCGCGAATCGGATCGGACTGGAGGTCCGATCCCCGGCTGGTTCCCGGTTCCGATTTTTCGAAACCAGTCCTTAGCGGGCGGTTCCCGATTCTAGAGTGGGAACCGCCCACCCGAACCATGCCACCCCTAATTCTAGGTGATTGATAATGAACAAGGATGAATGTTAATGTTGACGAATATGGCTGGAATGTGTTCATCAATGCTGGAAATATGCATGAGAATGTATGGGAGTGCATGTGTGCAAGTTTGATAATGCAGTTTTTTTTTTGGTCGAATGATGATGCAATTAGATAGCTGGAATTTTGAAGTCATTCTGACCTCTCGGTGTTCTCCAATTTTTAATAATTTTTGGGGTCAAAATTTGAAAAGACTTGCGAAACTTCGCTAGAAATTGAGATCAAGAGCTTTGCAACGGTATGAATTTTGTAAAAATTGGACCTCGTTTGATCCAAAAAAGTTCATCCGCAAAGTAGCGAAGGCGTTTTGCGTTAAATCTAGAAAACAATTTTCAAATTCCTCAGAACTTAAATTGCAAAAATAAAATAGTTAGAGGTCTTTTGTGCAAAACTTCAATTGTCCCTATTTAGACACGAAAAACTTGTAAAGAAAAAGTAAAGGGCAATGCATATCCACTAATTTAAGTACTTCACAAGGTACCGTACCGCGTGCCTTTCCATGAGTTAACTCGTGCACAAGATACAAGATTTAGGGATTAACACGACTTAGAACCTACCTCATACTCATCGACTTCGAAATTTCAAAGCCCGAAACCTAATCCGTGATCTTAAACACCCACCTCGAAACCGATCAGATCACACCGGCTTTGCCGGTTCCCGCAAATTCCACATCTTCCCTCGCACATCCCTAATCCCGATTATTATTATCACTATCATTATTATTAGCTGGGCCATTTTCCAAAGAAGATGCACGAAGGCATAAAGTGACCGACAAACCAAACCACCTCCCTCTCTCTCTCTCTCTCTCTAAACCTTAATTCGTACGGCTTCGAAATTCGTTTCCTTGTTGAGGTGGCTGTCGCTGGGGCCACGGAAAGTGACGGCGGTGATCTCGGAGCACACCACGAGGACGCAGGCCCCCTTGTTGTTCTCGGCCAGGTCCTTGGCCAGGCGGAGGACCGTGCCACCGGCGAAGCAGCCCTGCTGGTACATCATGTACAGCTTGACGGCCAGGCGGAGGCCCAGCAGCTTGGTGAGCTGGTAGTCGGCGCCGGGCATGTTGACGCCGCTGGTGGTGCATAAGACCAGGTGGGTGATCTTGGACTTGGGCTGCCCCCATTCCTTGATGGCCTTCGTCGCCGCTTCTTTGCCGAGCTTCGGGACCTCGACCACCACCATGTCTTGCCTCGCGTCCAGCGATGGCGCCATGTAGGCGCAGATGTTAGGGTTCTCCTTCAAGATGTCCTCGGTCAAGTGCATGTAGCGTTTCTTGATCATGGACTTTTCGCCTGCAAAATTGTCACAAGCAAAATCAATTTGAGGTTTTTCGCGGTATTAACCCTAATTTTTACACTAATGATATATGACATGTAATTTATATGACCTAATACTAACGACGAGCAAAATATATGAACTATTTTAACATGCTATGCAATCTAACCTATATGACCCCAAATACGCATATACTAAATGACATGACAAAGATGACGTGGCATATAGGATGACGCGCCATATTGTTGAGGAAAACTCCTATTGATTTTGAAGATGACAAAACCTTCTATGTTATTGTAAATCTGATACTTATTCTAAACAATTTTATTCCAGGACTGTATATTTTGGAAGATAAGAAGAAAGTTATTCAGACTTTACAATCTGTCAAGTATGGTTATGAAGACCCACATAATCGAAGTTCTGAAATTCAAAAGTTATTCAGATGCAAATGCAGAAGCAGAAGTTATTCAGATGCAGATGCAGACGAAGAAATTATTCAGACGCAGACACAGAAGTTCTTCAGATGCAGACGCAGAATTTCTTCAAACGCAGAATTCAGAACGTAACACAACAGCTAGTGATCTAGCATGGATTTCACAGAAGAAATGTTCTGATTGTCTCAATCTAAATCAAATTGATTGACAATCAAACATCACGACAGGAATGCATTACAACGGACAAAGCTCTACTTATGGAAACCAAGATTCTGATTGTATGGGCGACCAGAATCGGCGGGATTCAGAATCTGTTATTTAACGGCTACTCAATCCTTTGTATACAAATCTGTCCAAAGTGAAGATTGGAAGATGATCCTCTGAATGCTGTCCAAACGGCTAGTTTTGGAAGTAGAGGAGTATTTAAGGAGGTCAACGAGCAGCAGAAGAAATATAGAATCAAGAATCAACAAGTCCAAAGTCTGAGCATACTCCAATCATTTCTCTTGTCGCTCTGAGCAAAACATTAAGATCTTGAGGGATACTTTGTAAGAGTGATTGTGTGAGATAGAGAGTCCTATCATACACAAGAGTATTGACACTCAGAAGTTGTAATTTCTCTTGATTACATAGTGGAATCCAGCCAATAGGCTATAAGCGTGGGAGAGTGGACGTAGGCTTACTATAAGCCGAACCACTATAAACTTGTGTGCAGATTCTCTATCTCTTATCTCTTACTTTACATTCTGCACATCAAGAGCACAGTCTATATAATCTGTCTTGAATCTGAATTTTATTCAGACTCTTCTGCGATTTATTTTATTTCCGCATAAATTATTAAAACTTGTTTTAGATCACCTATTCACCCCCCTCTAGGTGATCCTTGCTAGCTACATCAATTGGTATCGGAGCAGGTTGCTCATTTATTGAAGTGTTTTACTTCTGAGCTAACAATCTATATGGCTAGCTATGGTGCTCTAGGGCTCATTGAAGGACAGAGCAACAACAGACCACCATATTTCGATGGCAAGGAATATAGTGTCTGGAAGAATAAGATGAAGGCATTCATAAAATCAATTGATCACATGCAATGGGATGTCATCATCAGAGGAGTCAATCCAAGATCTTCTGGTTCAAAAGAAAAGGCAGAAGCAAGTATAGCAACAGATCCTCCATTATCTCAAACTGAGATATCCAAAAGAGAAACCTTAGATTCCAAAGCAATTTATTCCCTCTATTGTGCTTTATCTCCTATTGAATATAAAAAAATTGCTGCTTGTGAATCAGCTAAGGAAATCTGGGATACTCTCCTTGTCACTTACGAAGGAACAGATCGAGCCAAGGAAACTCAAATCAATCTTTTGCTTGGTCAATATGAATCTTTCAAAATGAAGCCTGGAGAATCTATTGCTGATTTGTATGACAGGTTTACTGATATAGTAAACGGTCTTGCTTATCAAGGACAACCAGTTCCGGATGCAATGAAAGTCAACAAACTCCTGAGAGGACTGACAAATCAGTGGGATACCATCAAAACATCTCTTCGAGAAACACAAAGGATCAAGCCTCTATCAGTGAATGAGTTAATTGGAACTCTTCAATCATATGAGACTGAGAAACGGAATGAGGAGATTGAATCCAAAGGTAATAAATCAATTGCTTTGAAGACTAACATTGATTCTAATGCAGATTCTGAAGATAAAGACGTTGATGATGAAGAACTAGCTCTCTTTATAAAGAAGTATAAGAAAATGAAGATCAAAGGAAGAAACCTCAAAGGTAAGAAGCCTTTTGAGAAGAAGAAATCTTTCGATGACACTGATAGATCGAAAGATGTTATATGCTTTCACTGTAAGAAACGTGGACATATCAAGCCAAATTGTCCACTTCTGAAAAAGAAGACCAAGTTTGAGAAAGCAAAGAAGGCCTTAAAAGCAGAAACTTGGAGTGACACAGAGTGTGAAGACAGTGATGAAGATATCTCAAATTTCTGTCTAATGGCTAAGTCAGACTCAGACTCAGATTCAGATTCTGATCCCAAAGTGGAAATTGAGGTAAAACATTCTGACATGCCTATTGAAGTATCAAATTACATTGATGAATTATGCTTTGAATTCAAGACTGCTCTTAAATGCATCTCTTCTTTGAAAAAGGAAAATTCATCACTGAGGCAACAGGATGTTTCACAAAAAGAGAAAATCGATTTCCTTCAAAAAGAATTTCATCAAGTCAAGGAAAGTCGAGATTTTCTTTCCAAAGAAAATGCGGTTTTGAAAAAGCAAGTTTCAGAAATTACTTCCAAGTTTTCAAAGGGTTCAGAAACCTTGAAGCATATCATTTCTATCCAAATTCCTTACTACAACAAATCTGGTCTCGGATTTGTGAAGGAAAGTGATAGCTTGATTGATTTTCCAAAGGTCAAGGAGAGATTAAAACAAAGACCTCCTCGACAAGCTTATAAAAATCATTTCAAAAGGAATTTTGTAAAACCTTTTGGCCGAAGTGCACTCAGGTGCTCAAAATGTGGAGATCCACAACATTTTGAGAATGAATGTCCTAAGGTCTAGAGACCTGTTAGAAGAGCGTATACTAATACTCAAGGACCCAAACAAATTTGGGTACCAAAGAAAACTTGAGATGTTGTGATTTTTGCAGGTTACCACAAAGAGAAAAAGGAAGTGGTACCTAGACAGTGGATGCTCTAGACATATGACAGGAGATCCAAGTATATTCGCTGATCTACACAGTCTGAATGGTGGAAAAGTCTCCTTTGGAGGAAATACCAAAGGAAAAATTGTTGGCAAAGGAACAGTTGAAATTGGAGGACTTACAATCAATGATGTCTCTTTGGTGAAAGGACTCAACTACAACTTGATAAGCATAAGCCAACTATGTGATACAGGTTTCAGAATCAATTTTCAAGAAGATACATGCTCAGGGACAAGCAAAGATTCTTCTCAAACATTTACAGGAAGAAGACATGGCAATATTTATCTTCTAGATGTCAATCCAATCTCCACCCATTGCTTAATCTCAATCAAAGAGGATGAAGATTTATGGCATAGAAGATTGGGGCATATCAGTATGAAACAAATCTCAAAGATCTCAAACAAGAAACTGGTTCGAGGTCTACCAGATTTGAAATACAAGAAAACAGAGTTATGCAATACCTGCACTCTAGGAAAACAAGTAAGAAGTTCTTTCAAGTCTATACATCATGTTTCCACTAATCGTGCTTTGCAGCTTCTTCATATGGATCTATTTGGACCAACCAGAACACAGAGTATTGGTGGTAAGAAATATTGTTTAGTCATTGTTGATGACTTCACAAGATTTACTTGGGTGTTCTTCCTTGCTCATAAAAATGAAGCACTTTCATATTTTTCAAAATTTGCAAAAAGAGTTCAGAATGAAAAGGGCTATTCCATTTCCAGCATTAAAACTGATCATGGGGGAGAATTTGAAAATCAAAGTTTTTCAAACTTTTGTGAGGAAAATGGCTTTCAACACAATTTTTCTACTCCTTATACACCAGAACAAAATGGTGTTGTGGAGAGGAAAAATCGTTCTTTGCAAGAAATGGCAAGAACTCTGTTGATTGAAAGCAAAATTCCTTTTCATTTCTGGGCAGATGCAGTATTTACAGCATGTTATATCATTAACAGAGCTTTTCTCAGACCTATTCTTGAGAAAACCCCCTATGAGCTTTTCAAAGGTAGAAAGCCCAACATTTCATATTTTCGTGTGTTTGGTTGTAAATGCTATATTCTGAAAAATCCAAATGACCGCACTGGTAAGTTTGATGAGAAAGCAGATGAAGGATTTTTCCTTGGATATTCTACTTCAAGTAAAGCATACAGAGTCTTCAACAAGAACTCTCAGACTGTTGAAGAATCAATGAATGTAAAGTTTGAAGAAAACATTCAGACTCACAGAGATGAATCTGAACCATCTCCCAACATTCAAGATCTATAAGAAGATCATCAACAATCAGTCTCAGAAGAAAAAGAAGATATAATACAGACTCAACCAGAAAGTTCAGAGTCTGCAGATTTTCAGAAGGAAAGATTTGACAAAAACTGGAAACATAAATCCAGTCATCCGAAGAATCTCATCATTGGAGAAATAGAAGATGGCATCAAGACAAGATCCAAACACAAAGAGAACATCAGCAACTTGGCATTGATATCAGAAATAGAACCAAAAGAAGTTGGTGAAGCCTTATCAGATGAAAGCTGGATCGATGCTATGCAGGAGGAACTTCAGCAGTTCAGAATCAATAAAGTTTAGGAACTTGTGCCAATACCCAAAAATTATCCAGTCATTGGAACAAAATGGGTATTCAGAAATAAACTGGATGACAAAGGGAAAGTTACAAGAAACAAAGCAAGACTGGTTGCAAAAGGCTATTCTCAAGAAGAAGGCATAGATTATGATGAAACTTATGCACCAGTTGCAAGATTAGAAGACATTCGGCTACTATTAGCTTATGCTTGTTTCCATAACTTTAAATTGTTTCAGATGGACGTAAAAAGTGCTTTTCTGAATGGATATATCAAAGAAGAAGTATATGTGGAACAACCACCA